TACAGCCTAGGGCTCTAAATCCCAATGCCCTGACTGTGAGGAGGTGGGGGCTTGGCAGACAGATCAGAGAACAAGCAGGAAAGCTGAGACCCTGCCCAGGGGAATGTAGACACCCAGGTCTCTAGGTTTTCTCAGGCCATGTGGCCTAAATAGGCTGAGTGGACACATGCTCAGCAGGTCCAAGTCTGTGCACCCAATGTGTCCGAATCTCTGGCCCACTTCCCTGCTCTGAGCACCACCCTGATTTTCAGAGTGGCTTTCCCAGCCAGCGCCTGCCCTCCGTACTCTTTCTCTGAGCTCAAGAGCAAGGCAGACAGAACCTGTGTGGAGTTCTTTTGCCTTGAGATCATGATTAACAGAAACTGTAAAGTGAAAATGACCAGAGTCAATATCCAGCCCACATCATCCCTACCCTGAGGCTAGCTTTGCCCTTCACCTTTCCCTCCTCAGAGGTGAGAGCACAGAAGACCCAGAGAGGTGGCAATTACCTTGCTTTTCATGAATTTTTCTTGTACAATATTATCAGTCATAATTTGTTATTATTTAACATATTATACATTATAAAAACCAAACTTCCATGTTAAATGCATTGTTTTACTAATGAACTCTCATCAAATCTTTAACCATGGCCATTTTAATCTTTTATTATTCACAGGTAGTTTTTGGTTCACTCTAATTTTCCTCCAAAAGCATTTGCAATGGGATACAGGCCAGAGTACTTCACCTTCAACAGAAAGGGACTGCCTGTGAGATGCATGGAAAGGATTATGATGGGTACTGTGGGCCGGCCACAGACATTTTGAGGCAGGATAGTTAGCCTAGGAAAGCTCTCTCTCCCCTCTAGGATATGCTCTGGAATTTTTCCTTAGTCCCTTACTCAGCCCTCTCCCTGTTCTGACTCAGAGCTTGCTGAGACTCCAGCACCAGCAAAAAGCCAAGCCTGGACACAAGATAGATGACTTCGGGCAGGCCCCTCCCTCCAGGCGGCTTGAGAAACAAGCAAGACCAGGAGGCAGTATGGATAATCTTGGGACAGGCCCTCCGCCAAGAAAACAAAAGCCAGTAACTCAGACAGTTCAGGGCTTTTTCTGAGCTGTGAGCACTTTTAAGTGTGTACTTTGGCTTGAATAAAACTTGTGCTTTCCTGCTTGCTGTTTTTCATTGTCCTCGAATTCTTTCTCAAGGCATAAGACAAGAACCTGGTCACTGAAGCTCCAGGTCAGGGTCTCTCTTTGGACTCCTGCACCATTGAGCTCTCCAGCATCAATCTCATGGGCATGGCTTAAATAATTTTCAGACTGTGGATGAAAAAGGGGCCATACCACACCTGACAAGCTCAGGGTAGGGCCATACAAACTCAGAGACTGAAAGTAAGCACACGAAATGGTCCAAACGTAGAAATTCCTAACTGAAAGCGAGTCATGTCAGGTAGTCAGTCCTAGGCCTATAGTCTCCTTGAAGTCAATCTTTACCTGAAGTGAGCCTACTGTCTTTTTGCATTTAGGATAACATATCTTTGAAAGGTCAGAGAAAATATTACTCTGACCTTTCAAAGATAAGTTATCCTAAATGGAAATATTCTTTTCCAGACACCTCGGGGAGCAATCTCAGGTACCAGAGCAGGAGACTACAGGACCCCTCATTGTTATCTTTTCTCCCAATACCATCTCTATGTGATACAAATGTTAATTATTAACTATCCTGTACCCACCGATGTAAAAGTATGTGTTTCTCTATTTTGCCTTTTTAGCAAATCCCAGAGATTTCTCCTCTTTGCTTTCTCCTGCTCCCTTAATCAACCACCAATGGATTTCATGTAACCCTCCTTACATTTCCTCCTTCTGTTCTAATGTATAAAGTAAGCTCCAAAACTGCCATTCTCCAGAGCAATTTCTCGATCTGTTGAAATTTTGCTTCCTGGTAATTGTAGTCAGTTTGGCTCAAATAAAGTCATAAAAATTCTCTACAGGTTTGGATGTTTCTTTCATCGACAAGACCACCCCACTGTTGTGAGTAAGGTCCTCCAGACCTCTACCAGAGACACTGATGGGCTCATGAAACCACTAACCAAGTTCAAAGAGAACAAGAATTAACTACATGGGACTAAGTACACTGATAAAGGATGATTATAATTTTTTTATGGCATTTGTGTGAAATATTGTTGGATCTTTAATGTTCTATTTTGTGGATGTAAAAAAAAAAAACCCCTCTTTTTTTCTTAAGCTATCTATGACTCATAACAATCTAGCAAATTATACTTATATGAGCAAAATTGAAGCATTTATCTTTTTCTCCCTGCCTGATCCCTCCCCAAATCAGAAACTATTATAGAGTATTCTTATTTTCATGGCAATATAGTTGTTTGCATAGGTTCAAAATGAATCTGTCCTTCTTGTTGATAGGGCACAATTAAAAAACATTGGTTATACTACCAAGGAATGCCATATTTGAAAATGATACATAGAATCAGTTATGATCAGATAGTTTTAAGGAACTATGGTCGACTTTATGGAGTCAATGCTTACAAGCCTTCTTGAAAAAATGGCCTGGTACCTGGCTTACAGTGTTCCCAGCCTTCTGGTGAGCAAGGAACGTCACCTCTTGGCAGGCCTAGGAACCAAAGGATATTTTGAAGACCTTGAGAATTCACCCAGATCTCTAGGTGAAGTTTGATGTTAAGTTCTTGGCTTCCTAGCCTTAAGAGATTAAAAAAAAAAATCAATTTGAGATTCCTATAAAAAGTTCCACAAAGAAAACTTAAAAAGGCCTGTATGGTCAATTACCATTCTTGTTGAACTTATATAAATAAATCGGGCCAACTTTAATGAGACCAGAATTATTTTAAACAAGAATAATTACTTTGATTATCATTGATCGAAAAGGCAAGTGGCTGTAGAGAAAAATTTTATGTTTCACTGGAGAAAAATGACATACCCTTGTGGGTTATCAGCTTCTTGTCCTGTTCACTGTCTTTAATGTTTTATTATCTACCTGTGAATTAGACTGCATCCAGCCATCTTACACACTTTATCAGCCCTCATCAAATCATTTCTAGTTTCCTTCGCTATCTGGGTCTAACTCTTCAAGCTGATGTTTCCACTTTCCTCCCTCCCTCCTGACTGACATCACTGAAAACTGAACTCTGACTGCCCAACGTAGTTTCTAACAGCTCCAAGCTGCATTCCTAGGATGGCCTTTGTAGCAATCAAGATGCCTGAGAAAACTTGAGGCTGCCAAAAGATGTGACTGTTCCAGCCAACACCTGAGGACACATCTCATCTCCCAGGCTCTGTAGGAGGAATCTAACTTCCATAAGTGCCAGTGAGCAAACCCAGGTGGGTGTCATGTGAACCAAACCCCCATTCTACTTTTTGTAATTTTTCACTTCCCTCTCTCAAGCACCGCCCCCCCCATCCTCCTCCCCACTCATTCGTTCTCCCTTTAAAACACCCAGTTGCATTTGAGCAAATCAACCAAAATGGAGCTCCTCTCTTTCCCCTACTATAAATAGTTACTGAATATAACCTGTCCTCACTGCTTTAGCTAGTGTCTGGCTGTGTTCATCTATGACACCGCTGTCCTGGGGCCTTGCCCAAGGCCTCCAAAAGGGAATCTGTTGGGAGGATCAATGAGCCTTTCGGGGCCTGGGCCTCCACAATTCTCCCACTTCCAAGGGTCTGATTCCAGCTTAAAGACGAAGTATGACCCTCCCATGGCGAGTCAGACCTTGACTCTGCAACCTGGTCACCAGGTCAAAGCCCTCCCCCAGGGACAGGACTCCACCCTAGGAATCTGTAGTCCCATGGGAAGTGGGACACCCCACTCCTTTCTGGACCCCTATCCCCTCGTCGGATCCTGCCATACCAGCACAGAGCTCTCACTCCCTCAATCCAGTTTGGTACCCACCCCTCCACCCTTGTCCAGAGACCCCTGCCCAAAGTCGGATCCCTCCGTCCGCGTCCGAATATCCAACCCCGCCATCGGAATCCCTTATTCCCGATCCAGAAACTCACACCCAAGGTCAGAAGACCCGCGCCCACTTCGGACCCGTTCCCGGTCTGGCCTCATGGCCCGCGCGCCCACTCACCTCGCCCTGGCGGACATGTAACAGCGGACGCACCCTGGCGGACGCACCCTGGCGGACGCACCCTGGCGGACGCACCCTGGCGGCGCAGGCAGCGCGGCGGGCAGCCCTGCCGCTGAGGCCCCGCAGCTATGGCGGCGACCGCAGTGAGAGTGAAGGCGCTGAGGGGAGACAGCGGGCGCTTCCGGTGGCGGACGCCGGTCGTAGCGGGCGGGGTGCGGGGCGCGGCGCAGGACGCAGCAGGTAGGGTGGGTGGGGTCCGGCCAGGAATATGCGTGCATGGGTGTCCGGAAGGGGTGTCCATGTAGGAGGTGTCCCCGCGTGAGGCAGTCTCAGCTGGGACAGGGCTCCTCCGCTTCCAGCCACCCGCAATCCCCTTTCCAGATGAAGAAACAGCTGGGAGACCACCGTGCCAGAGGTTCTGCTGGGTAGAGTGACCTGTGCTGGCTCCTTCCCACTCCCAGCCTGATATTAACTGTAGTCCTGACTAGATGGCCTACCTCCAGAGGTTGCCAGGGACCATTCCCCCCGCCCCCCACACCCTGTTGGCCAGACCTGGCTACCTCCTCCCCAAGGTCCTAGCTTTCACATGCAGCAAGTGCTCAATACATGCACATGCAGGAAATCAACGAGGGTGTTGTAGCCGCCAGCCCCCGAAAGACACACAGACCACCAGAAACCAGTGAGTTATAGGAAACACACTCTTTATTCAGCCAGCTGGATCTGCCAGGGATACGCAGACCTCAAATTAAGCAGCCCTGAAATGTAGAGGTACAGGGTTTTTAAGCCCTAAATCCCATTCCTCATTCTATCTTAAACACAAAGGTCTATTTTTCTTCAGTTTATTAACTGTCAACCCGTAGGTCGGTTGTGCAAGCGGGGATACAGAAGCAGAAAGCTTGTTAGAATGTTATGTTCCCATGGGCGATAGGCAAGCAGTAATTTTCCAGCCAGCACAAAAGGACTCTAGGGAACAGATGGACTCTGAGCACCCATTGCTGGCTGATGTTCTGCAGGTGCCCCGGGGGAGGGGAGAATATATGACATCCTTCTGGAGCCACTAAGGGATGCTTACCAAACCAGGACAGTAATCACATAACCACCAGTACTAGGATGCCACCAGTTTTGGAGCAGGGGCTGGTGACTCAGGAGAGTCAGAACCCAATCTCCCAGAGCTGTCCCACAGTGCCACCACATCTGCCATGGTGGTATGGCTGGGCCCATGCATCAAGGTGCTACCCACCCCATATGCCTGTGCGATAACCCACCTCCAGACCTGCTTTTGGACAACTCCCTATTGGGAGTGTTGAGGGGCCTGGGTAAGGATGGGATAAAGGCTCTTTCACAGAGATGGCAGCTGTGGGAAGAAGAGTGACCAGACCCTTGGCCAATGATGGACTGGAGAAAGAGGGCTGACCATATGCTTAAGTGGACAAAGCTATGTGTTGCTGTGGCCTTGGGGAATCCAGGGGAGCCAAGGGAAAGATCTGTAAACAAGATCTGCCTCTGAGGTCACACACACAGGGCCCTTCAGGCTGAGGGTAAGCCCACGGCCTTGGGGTAGAGTGTTTTGTTTCCAGCTGGGCAGGAGGCAAGGATTCTGCCCCCAGGGCTTCAGTGTTGAGGAGCAGATAGGGCCTGGAGACAGTGCCAACCCCCAGGAAAGACACCTGGTCTAACTTTGAGCCTCCTCTTCCATTTCACCTCCAGTTTCTCTGAGAGCAGGAAGATGCCTGCCCTGTCCCAGGCTTGGAAGGAGGCTGATGCAGCCCCTGAACAGGAACCAGCATGACGGTGTTGCTGTTATCTATTCCCTAACATCTGCTACCAGGGGTTCTCCCAGAGCAGCACACTGTTCATTCAGCTTTGTCACACTTCCTGGTTCCTGTGTCAGGCACTGTGTTCAGAGAGGAGCAGAAAATTTAAGGACAATAGGCTCAGAACACAAAGACCAGACAGACTTTCCGGGATCAGCCCTGCCTGCTGTGCCTGTCTGAGGTGGGGAGGGCGAGGCTGTGAGGCACTTGAGTGCATGGAGTGCACAGGTAACCCTGCACAACAGCCCCTGCCCTGCCTACCATGGCTCCTTCAGGGTCCTTCCTCCCCAGCAGGCTACCAAGACCCCACCATGTGTTTACAGGCAGATTTCCTACACATACAGAAGGCTCCACTGCTGGCCTCTTGCAAGTGATTATCAGACCCAGAGAGTTCCTGGGTGTGCACAATGGGTGAGGAGAGCAAACCACCAAAGATAAGCCCACAATCCAAATGGCCAGCTGCTCACCCTGCCCTCTGCCTGATAGTTGGCTGAGGGGCACAGCTGGGGCTTAGGGGTGTCTAGACCCAGCGGGGATCCTGCTGTGGTGGCAGGAAGGAACAGCACCTGCAATGGAAGGTAGGAGCATGCCCCTAGGCAAAACCTCCCCTCTGTCCCCACCATGGGCAGCCAGAGAGATTTGGCTCTGCCCAGCAGGCTTGTGCTCCTCATCCTGCGGTAGCTTTTCTCCAACCAGCAGTTGTTCCTCTGTTCTCTAGGCTCATATCAAAGCCATCAGAATAACTGACAGTAGTTTAAGGCCTCTTCAGAGTCCTTGAGTGAAATTTGGAATTGGGTCCACTTCGGACTGGCCGCTTGAACCGAATTGTGGCTCTTAGATCCATGTGTACCTGTACATGCATCTCAGGTGCGCTCAAATGCTGCCAGCTAGAGGGAACCTAGGTGATCCTGGCTGTGGGGTGGGCACAGCTGAGTGTCCCCACTGGGCAGCTGCTCCCTAGACTGCCCCAACTGCATGCCAGGGCCTCCTCTAGGCTTGAGCTCCTGTATCCTTACAGGAGCACAGACCCCAGACCATGGTCTGTGGGGCATTTGTGGAGCCAGGGTCCCTGAGAGGCATGGGACTCCGGGGTGTTTTCTGATGCAGCCAGGAAGGTTGAGGTGGCTATACAGATGGCTGCAGCCTTCTCACTGGCAAGCCAGGCTCTAATGCTGGTGTGGGGCAGGCGCCCTGGCCTTGGATAGCAGACCTGCGACCCTGGGCTTTGCCAGGGAGCAGCAGCCAGCTCTGGATGCCCTGGCAGCAGTCTGCGCCCACCCCTAACTCCCCACCTACTGATCATTTTCTATTATTTTTTTCTTCCTTCACAGGGAGCAGACTTGTGCTTGGTGCTGGGTGTCCCTGACTTGGGCCATGGGTCACAGGCCGGCCACACTTAAGGACACACCTACCCTTACCTACCCTCTCCATGCCCTTCCTCAGTGTGCCCTTTTTAGTGGGTTTTTTTTTTTGCCTACCCTCCATGCCAGTAGTTTTCAGGAGAGAGACAGGCAATGCCTTCTGCAGGGCAGGAAAGATGTGACTGGTCTACTGTGCCAGGCTCAAGAGTGGAAGGGGCACGGTGCCTCTGAGATGACACCACAGTGAGCCTCAAAGATATTTCAGGGAGGAACTCAAGGCCTCGCAGCTCTTGCTGTTGCTCAGATTGGGTTCCCTCCGGAGCCCAGCATGCACTGGGTGGTGCTCTAAGAGGCATGGCTGATGCAGGGGCGGCTCTCTATTCTCCTTCACTTATAACAAAGGTGACCTTCACAACAGGTAGACGAAAGAAAAATGTTTGAGTCCTGTGTCTGGCTCAGAATGTTGGATGATGTTGGAGTTCAGAGTAGTCCTATCAGTTAAATTCTCTTCTTGAGTGGTGGTGGGTGGGGGGGTGGGGGGCGGCGTGAAAAGGCACTTGTACACCATACCAGGGGAAGTTGGCATGGAGTAATCTCAGGTCTTGTGCAGACAACTGTGCACCCAGTCACTGCCTTCTGCCACATGTGTGATATATCACCCCCCATCATCACAGAGTGGGGTCTCCCATGCGATGAAACAGATCCTGTGCCACTTTTAACTGGATGGGACTGCTTGCCCTTTGGAAATTGTGTTACCTTCAGGAACAATCCTGGCTTTTCCTTCTCACCCTTTACCCCTTACCCCAGCAGGACGTCAGGACTATGATCTCTTGGTGATTGGCGGGGGATCCGGCGGGCTGGCCTGTGCCAAGGAAGGTATGTGTCCTGTGTCCTAAGTCCAGCTGGCTCCTCCAATCTTTCAGGGCCCCCTGGAGTGGTCAGTGTTGTTCTCCAAGGCTGGATGGGGAAGCGCCTTGTGAGACCATGAGCAGAATGCATCGTCTTTGCAGCTGGCCTGCTGGCCTCTAGGGCTGTATCACCCTGCCAGGGTCACTCCAACAGTCTTGTCATTGTGCCCTGCTCCCTGCTGCATCCGGTCGTCTGTGCAGCACATAGCTGAGTCTGCCTTGACAGCACCTCCAGGCCTTACAGGATCTGCCACTACCCATTGGATATGTCTCCTACTACCCATACCCTCACTCATACCATGCCAGACTCTTGCCTCTTTGCTGTGCTTCAGTGCTTCCCTAGGTCTTTCTGGCCTTGCACCTTACCCTGCCCATCTGCTGTGCCTGGTCTGCTCTTTACCTGCCTAGTTGTCTGCGGGGCTCGCTCACCTTCCTTCAGTCTTTGCTGCTGAGAAAGCCCTACTTAGAATTGCACCCCTCCTACACATCTGGCCCCTGTCTCTGGCTCCACTGTTCTTGTTTTTAAAACTGTCCCCCAGAGATCACGGTTTGTTCCACCGGCTGTATCTTGCTCTCCAGATAGACCTGGGCACCCAAATGGGCCTAGGCACCCTTGGTAGGGGCGATGAGTAAAGATGTGTTCAGTAAGTGGGCTGGACCCAGAGGCATCTGGAGACATCAAGTGCCACTAACCCGGTGGGGAGCAGATTGCCAGTGTTGCACTGTGGACGCTGTGCTCTGCACTAGCAGTGCCCAGTGGTCTGCTTCCCAGTCTAAATGACAAGGAGACAGATATGGGAGAGTGGAGGAGAGGAGACGGGAGGGAAACAAGGTCCAAAACCAGAGGGAGTTGAGCAGACATCCTGGCCATGAAACTATGGCTCTCTGACAGCAGATACTGGGTTTTAGAATCATAGTTGGTGTAAAAGAAATTTGCTCTTGCTCCAAGGGGTGGGAGAGGGGCCAGCCTGCACTGGGGGCAGGAACCTGTGAAGTCTTTCGGCTGATTGGGGAGCCCACAGAGGGATGCAAGGTTCTCACCCCACTAGACCACAGAGCCACCCCAGGAAAGACTGTGCAGATGGCCAGTTGCCTTTCCCTTTAGCAAGAGAAAGCCCTGGACTTTGTGTTCACTTCAGTGTTGTCTCTAGAGACACAGTTCATTAACCCAAAACAGTTCTCAGGTCTGTCTTTGGCTTTTATAGCAGTGGCATTTGTGGTACTTTTTTATAGCTTTATTGAGACATAATTGACATAATATAAACAGTACATATTTAAAGTGGACAGCCTGACATATGTACAGACCTGTGAATCCAGTACCATAATCAAAATAGTGAATGTACCAGTCACCCCTGTATTAGTGTGCTGGGGCTGCTGTAACACATATCATAGACTGGGTGCTCAAACAGCAGAAATGTATTTTCTCACAGTTATGGAAGCTGGAAGTGTGAGATCAAGGTGCCATCAGGATCAATTTCTTCTGAAGCCTCTCTCTTTGGCTTATAGACGGCCTCCTTCTCACTATGTACCCCTGTGAGTGTGTCTTATTCTCCTTGTAAGCACACCAGTCAAATTGGATTAGGGGCCACCCTAATGACCTCACTCTAACCTAATCACATCTGTAAAGACCCTGTCTTCAAATAAGGTCACATTCTGAGATACTGGGGGTTAGGACTTCAATTTGGGAGGCCGCAGTTCAGCCCATAATAACCCCTAAAATTTCCTCAAATCTGGAGAAGCCCTTCCTGCTCTTCCCTCCCTGCTGCATCCCCAGGCAACCAGTGATCTGCTTTCTCTCATTATAGATTAGTTTGCATTTTCTAAAATTGTGTATAAATGGAACCATGCTGTATGTATTCTTACTTTTCTGGCATCTTTCATGTAGCATAATTATTTTGTTTTATCTATGTTGCTGTGTGTATCCACAGCTCATTCCTTTTTCTTGCTGATTGGTATTCTGTGTGTATATATGCATGCGTGCGTGCGTGCGTGCGTGCGTGCGTGTGTGTGTGTGTGTGTGTTTAAATTCTCTTGGGTATACGCTTCAAAGAGGAATAGGTGGATCATGTGGTATATCTCTTATTTAGTATTTCTTTTTTTCATTTCTTTCAGCAATATTTATAGTTTCCAATGTACAGGTCTTTCACATCTTTTGTCAGATTTATCCCTAAATATTTCATTTTTTAATAACAGCTTTATTGAGATATAAGTCACACACCATACAATTTACTCACTTAAAGTTCATAATTCATTGGTGTTTAGTTTATTCACAAAGCTGTACAATCATTGCCCCACAATCAATTTTAAAACATCCTCATATATACTCTGCCCATTAGTAGTTACTCCCCATTCCTTCACTCCTTGGCCTCTGGCAACTACTGTTTTACTTTCTGTCTCTATGAATTTGCTTATTCTGGACATTTCATGTACATATGTGGACTTTTGTCACATAGCATGATGTTTTCAGTGTCCATCCGTGATACAGCATGTGATAGTACTTCATTTCTTTTTATGGCTGAGTATTATTTCATTGTATGAGTAGACCACATTTTGTTTATCCATTTGTCTATTGATGGACATTCGAATCATTTCCATTTTTTGGCTGTTATAAATAATGCAACTATGAACATTTCTATAAAAGTTATTGCGTAGACTTTCATTTGTATATCTATGGAGAGATGTCTCCATAGATATACAAATGAAAGATATACATAGATGTCTGTTCAGAACTTTTGCCTTTTTAAAAATTGGGTTGTTTTTTAATTATTGAATTATAAGAGGGGTTTTTTTTTGTTTTTTTTTTTAACATATGTATTCTATATACTAGACCCTTATCAAATATATGATTTGTAAATACTTTCTCCCATTCTTGGGATTATCTTTTTACTTTCTTGCTGGTGTCTTTGCAATACAGCAGTTTTTAATTTTGAATAAGTCCAGTTTATCTGTTGTTTCTTTTGTTGCTTATGCTTTTGGCATCATATAAGAAGCAGTTGCCTAATCCAAGGTCACAAAGATTTGTGCCTATGTTATCTTCTAAGAGGTTTACAGTTTCAGCTTTTGGAGTTAGGCCCTTGGTCCTTTTTGAATTAATATACAAATATGGTGTGAGATAGTAGCCTTAGAGTTTATGGTAGACATCTTTAACTTGTCACAGGCTACTTTCAAGTGATATTCTCTCACTTCACGTGTAGTATAATAGCATGCTTCCATTTCTCCCCTCCCAGCCTGTGTTGGATCTTGTGATACATTTTACTTTTATTTACATGCTTTAAACCCCAGAATACATTGTTCTTATTTTTGTTTAAACAGTTACTTCTAAAGAATTTTAAATAATCAGAAAAAAATCTTATAAGCCTGCCATGTGGTCACCGTTTCTGGTGCTCTTCATTCCTCGGTGTGGATCCTACTTTCCATCTGACATCATTTTTCTTCTACCCTGTGGACATGCGAAAACGTTTCTTGTAATGTGGCTCTAGGCATAATGAATTCTTTCAGTTTTTGAATGTCTGAATATATCTTTATTTTGCCTTTTTAAAAAATATTTTTTCTAGGTATAAAATTCAGGTAGACATTTTTTTTCTTTTAGTACTTTAAAGATGTTCTCCACCCCTACTCCATTCGCTCTTGCACTGTTTCTGATGATAAATCCTCCACCCTCTTTATCTTTGTTATTCTGTCGTGTGTGTATTTTTTTTTTTTTTTTTAGGATCTTCTCTTTTCATTGGTTTTGAGTGATTTCATGGTAGTGTGCCTTGGTGTAGTTTTTAACCATTTTTCTTCTGGACTTCACTGAGCTTCCTGGGTCTGTGGATTTATAGTTTTCATCAAGCTATGAGAATTTTTAAACATTATTTCTTCAGATAGTTTTCCTGTCCTTCCCTCTCTCCTTCACTTCTGGAGACTTTAATTACCTGTATATTAGGCTGCTCGAAGTTGCCCTGCTGCTCATTGGTGCTCTTTACATTTTGGATAGTTTCTATTCCTATGTTTTCAAATTCACTAATAAAAGATTCTACAATGTCTAATCTATCATTACTCCCACTCAGTATAGTTTTTGTCTCATGTACTGTATTTTCATCTCCACAAATTTTACTTAGGTCCTTTTTTATATCTTCCATGTTGCTCCTTAACTTTCTGAACATACGGAATATAGTTATAGTACTTGTTTTACTGTTTTCTGCTAATTCTGACATCTTTGTCAGCTCTTGGCCAGTTTCCATTAACTGATTATTCTCTTTACAGCTTGTATTTTACTGCTTCTTTGCCTGGTCATTTTTGGTTGAATCTCAGACACTTTGAACTTAACCTTGTTGGGCTTTCGATATTTTTGTATTCCTAGAAATATTTTTGAGCATGTTCTGCCAGTGAGAGAGTTTGATCTTTTTGGATCCTCTACTTAAGATTTGTTTGACAGGTCTGGAGCTGTGCCCAATCTAGGGTCATTATTCTCAACTACTGTGGCATGACCTCCCTTCTGCTTACCCAGGAATTATGTGTTTTCTCCAGGCTGGCTTCTGGGAATAGACACTGTTCCTGGCCTTGGGTGAGCATTATCTCCTTTGATCCTTCTGGATGGTTTTTTCCCAGCCTTGGGTAGTTTCCTCACACACATGCACTGATCAGATGTCCAGGGTTCTCTGTGCAGCTCTCTCCTCTCTGGTAATTTGTGCCAGGAACTCTGGCTGCCTTGGTCACCCTAGCCCCTCAGCCCCTCTCCTCAGCCAGGGAGTCTGCTGAACTCTGCTGGAACCACCCCCTATACCGGGTCCTGGAGACTCCGATTCTGGGGTTCACCTTGTTCCTTTCCTGTTGCTCCGATATTGCTGTCCTTTGTTTTCTGATCTCCAGTGTCTTAAACCCACTGTTTCATGTACTTTGTCTGGATTTTTGGTTGTTTTAGATGGGAGGCGCATCTAGTCCCTGTTGGTCTATTGTGGTCAGATGTGAGAGTTGGGCGTTGGCATGATTATCAAGGTCCCTTGGCCGGAGCTTTTAAATAGAGCACTGGAATCCTAATTAGTTGAGCCAAATGGGCTTTTAAATGAAGTCTTCTAAAACGTTGTTCTGATACCCATGAATCGAGTGTGTTCTGTAGTATTTGGAACACTCATGGCTTCATGACATTTAAGTCAGACATGCTTTCTGAGACAGTCAAGTCCAGGGTCAGGGCTCGGCCAATGCCATACCAAGGGGAAGCCCTGTGATTAGCTCTGCCTCACTGGTATCAGGGACTCATAGCCCAGGGGAACCTGCTGACAGCCAGGGAGGAGCCAGGAGGCTCCAGGCAGCAGGTGCGGTTTTGTGCCTGGGTTCACTCTACCTCTAGGGGCTGGCTGGCCCTGGCTTTGCCATTTCACTTCTCCAGAGCTTCTGTGTCCTCACCCTGAGAGCAAGGCAGCAAAAGCACATCTGAGAGGCCCTGACGAGGGCAGACCATGAGTGGAGGCCACACGTAGTGTCTGGTGGGGAGGAGAGGAGGTGGCAAGTTCATTGGGAGGGCCTGAGTTGGTTACGAGGGGAGTCCAAGTCCAGGGCCTCTCCCGGGGGGTAGGCGCTCCTTCAGTGCATCGTAGCATGCTCAGGGTGGGCACTGGGCTCAGGTGGGCACTGCTGAGTGTCTGGGCCTGGAACCCGGTGGGGTGGGAGGCGAGGGAATGCTGTGCCCAGTGCTGCCGTGGTGAATGGTGCAAAGGCTGTGGTCCAAGAAGAAGGTTCCCAGCTGTGGGCAGCATGGCTGGGTGGCATCAGGCACAGGGAGACCTAGATGCAGAGCTGGCCAGCAGCCACTGGCCCAGGTCCTTCCCCACTCTCCTCTAGGCCTCATGGGCCCCTGAGGTCCCTGTTCCCAGCTGTGAAGCAGCTCCCCGGTTGTGCCCACTTGCCTTCTTCTCTTGTCATTCCAGCTGCTCAACTGGGAAAGAAGGTGGCCGTGGTAGACTATGTGGAGCCTTCCCCCCGAGGTAGGCAGCCTCCAATGACAGGAGCCATGTGCCCTGGGGAAGGGGCCTGGGTGGAGGTGCAGTCATGGTACAGAGGGCAGTTGAGCCCATAACCAGCCTGTCCCAAGTCTCCAGAGAGTGTTGTTTCTCTTATAAGCTTCGTTACATTAAAGTTCTATTCTTCTCATTTAAAAATGACTCTGAACACAATTATACAGAACAAATCTGTGGGACATGGTCACCTGGGCTGTGTTTGAGTCATAAACCCAACTTAAAGGAATTCTAAACAACTGTAGAAGTGTAGGAAATCCTTTAGAGTCACCTGAATATAAGTCTAAATGTGCTCTTCCCAACATACCAGGTACCAGGTGGGGCCTCGGTGGCACCTGTGTGAATGTCGGCTGCATCCCCAAGAAGCTGATGCACCAGGCAGCACTGCTGGGGGGCATGATCAGAGATGCCCCCCACTATGGCTGGGAGGTCGCCCAGCAGGTACCACACAACTGGTGAGGAGCCCAGCCCATTCCTAGCGCTTTTCTGCTACTCACAGAGGAGGTAGAGGTTTGTCTCGTTAGCTCTCAGGGGAGCATGCTGTCTCACCTGGGCTTCTCACTTGGTACAGTCCTGGGTACCTAGACATTTGTCAGTGCCTAGCAGGTGCAGGGGGTGATGCTGCTGCATCTACTGGATAGCGCCCTGGGATGCTGCTGAAGGTCGAACAGTGCACAGGACACCCAAGAGGATGACACAACCCAAAGGCCAGTGGCTCAGTATGGGAGCCACTTCAGGTTTATTCAAAGCTATGCACAGGCCCCTTTATGGTTCTCAGTTGACCTGGATGCCGGGCCACTGCTGCATCCTAATGGCTGTAGACCAAAGCCTTATTTTTCATGAGTCCAAAGATTCACGTCCCCAAACCTGGGACAGAGGCGGTGGCTGTAGGGATAAACGTCACATTTTACCACCTTTAGAAATACTGCCATTTGTTTCTGTTAATGCACTGTTTGTATGTAATAGTCTTATGGGACTCTACAGCTAATGCTTTTGTGGTGGTTTTAATGTTTGGTTTTGTGCATTAATAGGAGGAAGATGGCAGAAGCCGTTCAAAACTACGTGAAGTCCCTGAACTGGGGGCACCGGGTGCAACTGCAGGACAGGTACTGAAGGCTCATCTGGCTCTTTAGCCTTCTCTGGGTCATTTAATGCCTTGACGACAAGCCCTTACTAATGGAGGGCTCAGCAGCAATAAGACAAGGGGCCCCTGTTCATGAGGCGGGGCATGCAGACAAGCAGTAGATGGACTGAGTGCCCTGGGAGTGGAAGGCCACCATTTAGGGAGCTACCTGCAAGGCCCAGAGCAGTGAGGAGCAAGGGGCACATTGGCGGAATGGCTATAACTGGGAGGGGGAGCAGGTGTGCTCAGGGCTGAGAGCACGAGGGCCAGATGTGGAGGCTGGTGAGGGCCATCCCAGTGGACAGTTCCTTCCTTGAGTGGGCAGCCTTTCTCCTGCCAGGGTCAACCACAGTTATGTGGAAGGAGCCAAGTGAGCCCTACCTGGCTGGTGTAAGCTGGAGGCCCAGGTGCTTCCCCATGAACTCCACACCTCACCTCATGCCTCCTATACTGCGAACCCAACACCACATCGCACACTTCCAGCTCCCTGGGCTTGGTGAAGGGGCCTGGCATTGTGTGCTGGAGCATATGTGTAACATGATCACTCCCTCCTGAAACCATACAGTCCCACCATCCCCTTATGGTCCCCCAGTCCAAATGCTAATACTTTGCCCCACTGAAGAATCCTCCCCAAGGACAGCTGCCAGGAGAAGAGGTGCCTGAAACTGCACTTGACTAAGGCTAAGCTTTGCTCCTTGCTCAGCAGTTCTGCTCTGTGCCCATGCAGGTCATGAAAGGGATAGTGGTCCCTCAAAGGTCTGGTGGTCCTCATCTGAGCATCCCTAGCTTGGCTCTGATGGGTCTTCCTGCGTTGTGCAGTAGGCAGCTGTTTTGTATCTCCTCACCCAAGAAAGCTGAGCCAGGAAGCTGCCACCTCGGCTTCCCCAGGGGTCGCCCAGGGAGCTAAGCTGTATGGTGTTATTTCTCTTCTGAATGGGGCTCCCATCTCTGGGTGTCCCCTTGTGCAGTTTTCTGGAAACATCGGGCTCTGCCATCCGTCCTGCCTGACTCTGGGTGGGCACCAAACAGGCCAGGCCCCAGGCCGGCTCCAGAGTTGCCTGCAAAAGGAGGGCAATGCAGTGTGTCTGTATCCTGCTGCTGTTAGCAGGTTGTGGGGTGAGTGAGGACGTCTGCAGAACATGGAGGCGCAGGGCCTGGCAGTGGGGAGAGCACAAGGTTAAGGTGGCAGTGAAGGCTTACCAAAGTGTAGCCTTTGTGATTAGAAAGGAGTGGGCTGCTTCTTTACACCATGTGTCCGACCACCTTTGTGTCCTCATTGTCATACCCATTCTCCCAGCCTTACTGTCCCCTAAAAGCTGGGATGATGCCTACCTGCCAGATGTCCTCCCTTGCCCTTGCCAGTGGAAAGTTGGTGATTTGGGTGTTTCAGGGCAATTGGATACACATGTGGGGAGGGTGGGGTCTCTTCCCTGGTAGACAAGGAATCCAAAGAATGTGACAATGACAAGGACTGACCCCAGGGGAGGCCCAACTACTGCTGTCATCACACACCAGGACTGTACTTGGGCTCTCAAGACTGCACTGACCTGGCTTCCATCCTTACCTGGCGGCTATGGTCGCCACGTCCCAGGGAACCTCCGGGGGACATGGGAGATGGCGAGCTGCTTCCCAGTGCAGTTCTTCACTCCCCTCTTCCCCACCTGAGCTATGGGTGGTGGACGATGGACTGTGGGCCCTAGCTCACCTTTTAGCAGTCTGCACAGTGCTCTCTATTTAATTCCCTAGGTGACGCTTAATTTGTATAGGAAATGTATGAAAATTCTATTTATTTTATAGAAAAGTCAAGTACTTTAACATCAAGGCTAGCTTTGTCAATGAGCACATGGTTCGCGGTATCGCAAAAGGTGGGAAAGAGGTGAGTCTTGACTGTTCCATGGACTTTGGTGCTATTCTCAGTAATAAGTTCTGCTCGGTTGACCAGACAGATCCCTCTGAGGCTCCTTGTAATTCTTTATAAGGGATAAAATGAATCGCAAGCTATGCATGTTTCTCCTGGTTGCCACTTTCAGAGGGCAAAAGGCAACCTGTGACAAGGGTGGATGATCACACCCTTGCAGAGTTTTGTGGAGATTCATGGAGACACCTGCAGGGTGCTTTGTAAACTGAAGTGCTTGCATTTGAACATTTCCCTGCCATCCTCTGCCTGTTCCCTTGACCCTTGATGGTCTCCCAGCTTTGCGGGGCCTCTGAGCTACTGCGTACAGAGTCTGCAGTTAGAATTGTGGGTCTCTGCCCAGGGGCACCTGCAGGCATTGAGCCCTCCTTGTAGATGACATTGGTGTACCTGTTTGACTGTGGCTTTCTTGGTTTCTTCTCAGACTCTGCTTTCGGCCGAGCACATTGTCATCGCTACTGGAGGGCGGCCGAGGTACCCCACGCACGTGAGTGCCCTCAAAACACCGTCTTCCCCCACACCCTGACCATGTTCATGGTCCCTGGACTCACGTGGTACACTGTTTACATCCACGCTTCCCACACCAGCAGTCTTCCCCACTCTTCTTTAGAAATTTGTGTATGTGTGCTCACTATTGTCAATTTCTATTTTCCAATTCTCTCTCAATTTCATTCTGCTGAATTAGGTCACTGGGGGTCCCCACACTATGAACTCTAAGAGCCATTCTCAATTCATTCTTCAGATGGCTCCTGGGACACCACCAGATCTGTTCTTCTTTTATCTCAGTATCACTTTTTCTCAATCCCCTTCGTTGATGCCTCCTTTTCTCTCAGCCTCACAATATTGACATGTCTAGGACTTAAGCCTTGTTCCTCCTCCTCCAAACCCAAATCTTTTTTTAATGACATAAAATTCACATACTACAAAATAAACCCTTTTAAAGGGTACAATTCAATGAGTTTTAGTGTTTCACAGAGCTGTGCAGCCATCAATCTCTACTACTTAATTCCAGAACATTTTCGTTACCCCAAAATGAAACTCTGTACCCATTAGCAGTCACTCCCTGCTTCCCTCAGTCCCTGGCAACCACTGGTCTGCTTTCTGTATCTATGGATTTACCTGTTCTGGATATTGCACATAAATGTGCACAAGATGTGGCCTTTCCAACTGGCTTCCTGCATTTAACATATGTCTTCAGGGTTCATTCATGGGGTAGCATGTGTCGGAACTTCATTCCTTTTTATGACTGAATAATATTCCGTCGTATGTGTATGCCACATTTTGTTTACCTCCTTGTCTATTAATGGATGTCTGGGTTGTTTGTACTTTTGGCTATTATGAATAATGCTGCTATGAACATCTGTGTCGAAGTTTTTCTGTGGATTTAAATTTTCACTTCTCTTGGGTATATACCTAGGAGTGAAGTTGCCGACTCATAGGGTAACTCTGTGTTTAACCCTTTGAGAAACTGCCAGACTATTTTCCAAAGTGGCTGCACCATTTTATACTCCTACCAGCAGTGTTATGAAGGTCATACTTTCTTGTTTCTTTGCATGTCTTGTAGTTTTTTGTTGATGAGTGAATTTTTCAAATAAAATAATGTATTAACTCTGGAAATCAGAATTTCCCTCCACTGTAGGGTTTTGTTTATTGCTCTTAATTTGCTGGATGACTTTTCTGAACTGGTTTTGTAAAGTCTTCATTTTTGTCATATGAGGACACTGAAGTCTCTGCTCAGTTAGCTTAGTGGTCAGCTAATGACAGGACAGATATTTCCTTAGATATTACCTGGAACTAAGAAATCTCCCAGTCTTTGCCAAGGACCCTTGTGGACACCTTTAACACTCAGAAGAACTCTGCCTTAGCTCTAACTTCCTGCATGTGCAGGGTCTCAAGATTAGCCAGAGGTGAGAGCTGAGGCCATCTTAGGTCTTTTCTGGGTGTGTGCACAGCCCAGTGCTTACACCTAGCTGCCTAGATCTCAGGAATATGATGGAGCTTTTCAAAGCCTCTGTGGACATCTCATTCCTCAGCTTTTCCTTTTACACTTTTGGTTAGTCTGTTGTTTGCGTCAACTGTTATCCATCACTTCAGGCAGCCGTGATGTTTAGTCATTGGGCAAATCCTCCCCAGGGAGAGGCTTTCAGCACTGGGTAAGTTCGAGCAAGGTCAGATGAAGACAAGCCTATTGAGTGGGGTGTTTCAGGGAACCACTAGCCAGGTCAACCAATGACTGTTCTTTGGGAAAGAGCTTTGAATGGGCTCTGGCTCTGTTCTGCTCTCTTTGGTACTGTCATTTTTCAAGTCTGCCACTGAGTTGGGGGATGGGACTAGAGTAAGTTAAAACTCCACAAAACTTAACCATTCTTACCAAGTTTTAGCCATTTTTCTTGACTTAATGTTCTCTGTGTTGCCACAAGCCTTCAGTTTATTTCCAGAATTATGAAAAAGTTTAATCTGACAGTTTTTTTCCAGTTCTTTTGCTGTTTTTATGGAGGGGTGAACTTTGAGGAGGTCCTCACTCCACACCTCCTGGCCCATTCTTACATGTGGGGGCTTTCTGTCCTCCCCCTGTGAGGAAGATGGAGCTGAGGAAGAGGCCCCCAGGGGGTGGGGGTGGTGGAATGGGAAGCAGGAAGGGGAACAGAGGGGTTTGGCTGAGGCCATATCCTCACGGGTCTCGCAGGGGATCCCATAACTGGGTGCCTTGAGCCCTGAGCCTCCATGTGGGCCACAGTAAAGTGTACAGGCCCACAGGTCCCATGGGCCTAGAGGCCACTCCTGCCTCCTACTTAGACCTAGGTGGAGCACGAATGGAGGAAGAACAAAGAGTGTGGTTCTGCTTTTTCTCAGACGTCTAAATCCTGAACCTGCACTTTCTGTTTCATGCTTTCTCTGAAAATGGAGCACAGAGGGAAAAGCATACCTCTAATTCTCAGGGGCCACTGGACCTCCCCTCCTGTTGTCAGGCCAGCAATAGCAGCCTCCAGAGGCAGTTTGTGCACAGGGCTGGCTGTTGGGCAGGCTGCATGGTTCTGTAGGATGGCAGGGTGCTGTTGTTTACAGTAGCTACAACAGACGGGGCAAACTACGTGACCGTTAGTCACCCTTCACCCAGCAGCCGGACCCATGCTGGTTCTGCCTAAAGCCTCTAAAGGCCATAGTCAGCTTCCGGCAGCCAGGCGGTCATCTCAACTCCTTTAAGGCACCAGGCAGAGCTGCACACATGCCCGAGTCAGGGCACCCTGAGGAGGGGCTGGCCTGGTCTTACCCTGCTGGTCCTCGGCTGAGCAACTGCTGATGTCTCCATTTGCCAAGAAGGGCATGAGGCAGGACCTGCCAGTCCTAGGGAGGGCAGCTCCGTGGCTGTTCTGCTCTCTGCCACTCTGCCCAGGATGACCCCGCTGCCCACCCCGCTGGGTGCCTGCCAAGACTTACTTGTGTTTTAGTCCCTTTGATTTTCAGAACTTTTGATTTTCCTTCCACAAACCCAAGAAATTCCTGACTTTATTTTATTTTATTTTTTGCCAGTTGGAGTCATAAACTGTAAAATCCATTTCCTCTCCACCAGTATGTCTTCTTCTTAAGGCCTCTGAGAGGGCAATTGTCCTAGTGACTTGTCCACCTGCTTAGCAGCCCCCCATCAGTTCCTGCGGGGACACAGGGTGCTCTGTATAATTCCTGGGCACGGAGCCCACCTGTACTGTCCCTCAAGGGTGCCCAGTTGCATTCAGCCTTCAGCCTGGCACCCTTGGAGCTGGCTTGCCCCTCCATCCCTCATTGCCCCCTGTCCTCCCAACAGCCCTGAATCTGGATCAAGGTGGATGTCCCAAGGAGCAGAGAGGAAATACCTGCTGGTCGTACCCTGGCTCTGTGGCCTCCTCACACAGCCTAAGAGAGCTTGATGCTTTTGTGCTAGGCAGATGGCACACCAAGTTAGATATAGACGGGTTACCTGTCCCTAGAGGTCCCAACCTGAAGAAAAGTCTGTGGAGCAAGGAAGCACACTCACAAGTGGGTTGGGGTGGTTCTGGTTGAGTTGGGTCTACTAAACGGGCATCCCCTTTGAGGACATCTCCAGGACAGGCCAGATTACACTCTTCTCACATTAATCCTTTTTTCTGCATAGATCGAAGGTGCCTTGGAACACGGAATTACAAGTGATGATATCTTCTGGCTGAAGGAATCCCCTGGAAAAACGTAAGACCTGATGTGTGCCTGAGGGGGGGTCTTCTTTGTTCACCTTCCTACGTGTCGGGGCCATGTAGAATGCTGTGTGGTCCTTTCCTAGTGTGTTCTTTCCCATCTACTTGAGAGGAGGACAGAAAGCCCGCTATTCCCGCTATTCATGCCCCATAGAGGGTTTGGTGACACATCCTGTGACTGTCTTAGAAGTGATGGCATGTGTGTCACCGAGTGAATTGGACATTTATTGTCCAGGGCAGTGGTTTCCAAAGTGGCATTCAAGGAGGTAAAGAAGGTTCAAGTTATCAGGAAAAACCCTTGACCCTTCCAGCCTCGATTAAACATCCCTGCTTTCATTTGGTTCACACCTTGGGCTTCCCTGTGGTCTAGCAAAGGCTCCAAAGGCCTCAGTAACCACAGCCCAGTTGTGGAAATACTTGTGGAATGAGTGGTTTTATACTCTCCAGGAAAGTGAAAATGCACTAAGTTCATTTCATGCACCCACAGAGCAGGCTGTTGGGGGTTCCAGGTCCAGACAGCTCCTGCCTGTTAAGTGTGGCGGGAGCTTCATGCTCGCAGGGACTTCATGCTCACTGGGACCGGAAAGGCCACCAGAGGGCAGCAGAGGCTTGGTCATCAGCAGCACTCCGCGGCCTTGGGACTTGCTTGCAAGAAAATATGGGTGGAAAAGTGTATCCAGAAGTGGACAGGCATGTGTGGACAAGTATACATGTGAGGCAGTGTATATGCATGTGTTGTGTGCATGTGTGTTGTGTACATGGGGAGTATGTGTGCATGCCATGTGCTCTGCTAGCCATCATCGTTCCCTGTTCACATGGCATCTTTGGTCAGGGCTGAGGGTGGATTCCCTTGAACGGATATGGCGTAGTTTATTTTATCTTTCCACCATTCACAGGCATCTCAGTATTTTCTCTTTTCGGTTGTCATAAAATGTCGCAACGAAAACCTTTGGTGTGCATCTTACATACTGTCGTAAGTGCTTCTTATGTATTACAAATACCTGTTGATGTTTCCACAAGTAGAAACCTCAAGTCTAGGCAGGTGCCCTTCACACTTTCACACGTCTGCTAACATGTTCCCCCCCGGCGAGCCACACCGTATCACACGTGCACTTGTGCTTCCTGTCTCCTCCTCCTCACGTGGGTATTAGCTTTTCCAAAAGGCAGAAAACCGAAAGGAGCATCTCCTGCTTCCATGGGGTGACTGCAAATTGCTTCTGCCAGAGGCATGTCGGATCCCTCCCAACATCTGTGCTCAGGCTCACTCAGGTGTGTGTCCATCACCTTCCACTAGTTCCCTAGACTGTGGTTTGTCTTTTGACTTGGCGATAGTTTTTCATGCAGAAGCTTTTAATTTTTATATTGTCATGTTTGTTACTTTTTTATGCGTAATTTCTGGGTTTCTGTTCTTTTATTGTTGACTCTCCAGTAGGTAAACATGACGTGGTTTTATTTGTTTGCTATTATTAATCTTTTTGTGTATTTATTGACTGTTTAAAATTGAGTGCCTGTATGTAAATTCATATATGAGGGTGTGTGTGTGTGTGAATTGTCAGCTTGGTCCTTGGCCCGCTTTCTATCTGGCTTTTCTTTTTCTTCTCTTATCTCTTTCTTATCTTCCAACTGGTTGCATATTAGGGCTGTGATCCCATGTCGTTTATGTTGCAGATTTTCTCAGCTTGTCATGTCTTTTAACTTGTGCAGTGTACAAATGGTTTTTTTTTAATGTAACTTAGATCTCTTTTTACACTTAATGGCTTTTAGATTTATTGCATATTCAGGAAAGCCTACCCCACCCCCAAGATGGTTTTTGAAAAAAAAGCCCCTATATTTTCCCTTAGGGTTTCCACCTGTCAGATTCGCCTTTGTGTCCTTGAGTGTCTGCAGTTCATCCATGGTGTGGTGAGGTGGAGACTGGGCTGCCGAGGTCCAGCATTGCCACCCGTCCCCGCTAGCCCCTCAAGCTATCTGAAAGCTCTGTCCCCGAGTTGAGTTCCCGTCATGCTCTGGCTCGACTCTGGCTTTCCTGGGCCACTGGCAGGAGTGCCTGGCATTGTCTTCAGACAGGACTGGAGAGGGAAGTCCAGGTGCAGTGGGTACTGGTGGCGCTCAGCAAGGTGGCCCTGGCTTGGGCTGCTCCTCTGTGACTGTGTGCTAGGGGCAGCAGCTCACTCAGCTGAGAAGACAGGAAAGAAACTGCAGTGTTTATTTTCTTCAGAAAAAAAACATTTAGAAGATTTTTTTTAAAAAAAGCTCTTTGGTTTAGAAGGAATCTAGGTATGTTATTGTTTAAGAAAAAAAGTGTTTGCAATGTATCAGTCACCCGTTTAGTTCTGAGCATGATTTATGTGAGGAAATGGTTTTTTTTAAAAAATTAAGCTGGAGATATATCCCTGTACGATGCTTCTGTGAAAATGCGGCTTTTGTCCGGTGCTGTTAATGCAAGTTGTAACAGTGTGATATGGGAGTCAGTGTTTACATGTTACATTCCTCCGCACAGTCAAAATAAGCCCGCAGGGTCTACAGTAGCATTTCTGTATTTTATCAGCTTGGGCTGGGGCTGAGGGGGAGGCCTCTGCTCACACTTGGAGGAGCTGTTTCTGCCAGATTTATTTGCCTTATAAATATTCCCCATGTTTATTTTAACTCGCCTTTAAAATGGAGCTGAAATTAATATGGACCTGAGGGCTGCCCCCTAGCCCCAAGTGCCTCCTGTCACTGGGCGGGGATGGTTTTACTTGGTCCTATCCAGGAGGCCCAGCCAGTGGCTAAGGGTGCCCAGCATGCCTGGCCTCCGCCTGCAGCGGGCGCTGTGTTCATTCACTGGCTCCCCATGGCCTATTGGAAGCTTTGGATGGGCACGCCTGGCCCCAGTCTCTTGTGGAGTCTGCACTATGCACAGGGCCTCCCACCCTACTTCTCTTCCCATGATGGGTCGTGGGCAGCAGTTAACCTTCTTTCCGGGTTTGTCTGTGTGGGGCAGTGACCAGTAGCTTCAAAACTGGTGAGTGGAGCCCATGGTGGGGCCTGCAGCCTTTGACCTCTCGTGATTGTTCCATGCCACCTTGGCTGCACTTTGGACCCCCGTGGCCACAGTGGCGTCCCGGCTACATGGACACGTGAGGGGCCCCCTTTCCTCCTTTGTTTGTGTACAGGTGTCTGGGTTGCCCAGGGCTGGACAGATGGCAGATGCGGGTGGCCAGGCCTGAGCCCAGTTGGCAGAAAATAGAATCAACCCCCTCACTACACAGCTGGGTGCCTGGTTTGGAACCCCTGGAGGTGATGGATCACATGTAGAAGACTCCAGCAAGTACAGGGGGAGCTCCAGAGTCTGTGAGCAGGACCCTCTAAGGCCAGGCCGGGGTGAGGTGGGCCTCCACAGGTAGGCATCTTCAGCTCAGCCTCCTGAATGCCACTTTTGTGTCTGGCTTGTTTGCCTCTTCCATTATTCTTGTTTCTTCATTTTTCTGTGGAAATCCAGGACAGATTGAAGATGGCGTGGATGATTCCAGAGGAAGGACAGGGTTCCCTGGGCAGGTAGGAGCCCCCTGGAAGGAATGGGCAGGGAAATGATGGCCACTTTGGGAAGCTATCCACTACCAGTGGAGGAAATGGGGGCACAGAGGGGGTGCATAGCCTTGCATAGGAAGCTCAGTGGTGGTGCGCAGCCCTGCATGGCTCAGCTATTCGGTGGGTAACCCCTGGGCAGGTGGAGGGAACATGGGAGAGTGGAAGGTGGGCCCACTCCCCACAACTCCTGTAAGGAGGCAGGCACTGGGGTGTTTGGATCCGAGTGCCCCTGAGGCAGCCTGGCTCCACCTTGATCTTACAGCCTCATGACCTCTGATTGTTCATGTGGAGGGCTGCCTCTGGCAGCCAGGTGGGGACGGGCCCAGCCTCCCAGACTGCCCAGGCCCAGGACCCTCTGGTCCCTGCCTGTGGCAACTCTTCAGGTACCTTAAGGGTGGGGCATCAAGGTCACTCTACTCTAGACTCCCTGGCCCACCTGGTCAGCGCTACTGTGTGGAGCTCCCTCCAGTTCTGGAGGTCAGCTCTGCAAAACAGGGTTCTGAGCTGGAGTTGGGCTGACTTCAGTGTCAGCATCTTGCTCTGATGGAAAAGAGGACTTGAATGAGACTGGACACACCTCAAGGTGGCTCTTCCCCAACATTGGACATACCAGACAATGGAATTGCCATTTCCAGATAAGAATCAGGATCTTGTTGTTCCTGCTGCCCACTCAGGTCCCATAGGTCTCCTTGAAGGCCTGTCTGCAGAGCGAGGGGCTGACTGACCTCTCCTATAGCTGCCCAGCCTGCTCGCCAGCCTGGGACTGTATACTGTTCCATGACTGCTCCACAGCCTGACCCTCTCTGTCCTGGGGCCCCGAGGAGAGTGAAGCAGGGAGAGTTTTTGTAACTTGGGGTGATTTAATGCTGCCTGTCAGAGTTGATCATGGAAGGAGCTTTTGTTTGACTCTTATTAAGTCCAGAAGCTGACCAGGTACTATAATCATTTTTTTCCTCTTCCTCTGCATGAGAGACAAGAATGTAAATTTTATTTTGCAAAGAACCACAGCCGTTAATTTACGAAAACTCACTGTCACTTAATTTTCTCATTGTCTGCTTACCTTTCATATTCATTTAGTGTGACATCTTTGTGTCCAGCAAAAGGAAGACCAGCCAATAGCCTGGACTTGGCTACCAGCCTATAAAGCACTGCTAACCATGTCCCTGGGCGTGTCCCTGTGGCTAAGATATGCAGAGCTCAGAGGCTGAGGAAGACACCTCTTCAGGGTGGCAGTAGTTACGGGGCCAGAGCCTCAGGGTGGCATCTGTTATGGGGCCAGAATGTAGAAGATCTGGCTTGGTGGAAGTGGGCCCAGTATTGGGCCCTGAGGGTGGGATGGGGCTAGCCCCCACTGGGGTAGAGGCCTTGGCGCCCCCATCCATGCACTGCCTCCCTGGGGCCCGTTTGGCATTTCCTGCACTGGCAGGACTAGGACTGCCAAGGGGCCAGGTGCCTGCCGTGAGGCCCTCACTTTGTATGGGTGTTCCCCTTGGGCAGCAGATCAGGGGCCTTCAAACTTGAGAGGCAGGTGGAGAACTTTTTAAGCCAGGGCTTCATGGGCTTGAATTAAGGCTTTTGTTTTTGCTTCCTCCCCCCTGTTCAGATTTTGAACAAGAAAGCCTGCCCTGTGATTAGGCTAATCCCACTGTAGTTTTACCTTCATGTAAAATGTTTGCACACCGAAAGGCACAGAGAGTGGAGCTGCCCAGAACACATGGAAAATTGAATCGGGGCTCCAAGGTGCCGGTGCTGACTTCCCGCGTGGGCTGTTGCCCTAGTCTCAGGCCTTCTAACGATAAGGGGAATGTTTCTAGCCCCCAGAGCCTCACTTATCCCCTTCTCCCTGGTCCAATAAGCTAGTCCCCTGACTTCTGCTGCTGCAAGCTCTGCTGTCCTTCCATGGCTGGCCAGGACCTGTGTTGGTCACTGTGCCTTGGCACTTAGTCTCGGCCCTACCATTCCCAGACCCCTATTCAGGCCGGGGATCTCCTCAGTAGCCACCAGAAGCTGATCTGCAGTTTCAAACTTACTAATAAAATCAAAATGGTGCCCCTGTCTTCTGGCACACTCCTTCCTTGTGACCTAGAAACTCTGTGGCATCTGTCTCTAGCATGTTCTTACTTTTCATTTCAAGGGAGTTCTCTGGCTGAGTTCTTGGATCTTTCATTCTTCAAAGAGTAATCATTATTTGATAAATTGGGGGCAGGGGCGGGGTGAAAAAACAACACAGTTGATAATCCTGCCACGTGAAGGCAAGGAGAAGCCCAGAGTTTCCCTTGATACACGTGGACACCTGCTTTTGTGAGATTTTAGCCGCATACATTAGGTCAAGGACACCCCCTTAAGAATGGCCTGGCCGACTCCTGCCTCCTCCCATATGTACCCTCAGAGCTGGCAGCCTGAGGATTGGGGACACCCTTGAGTTTGAGGTGGGAATAGGAGGCCCAGGGCACTAAGCGAGCTCCATGGGAGGAGCTGGGGATTTGGTGCCCGCCCGCCCTGCCTCCCCATCCAACTCCCTATCCGCACGGTGCAGGAGGGTGGGGAGACATGCAGGTGCTGCAAAAACATAATATTTTTGCCTAAATCAGGAAACCATGTTGCTGCACAAAGCAATGTGATATGAGAGCCTGGAGCTATCCTATAGGCCAAGGGCTGCCGGAGGGCACACATTAGGAAGGCAGGAAGGCTCAGAGATAAGCAGGGATAGGCTAATTGGTGGACAGAGGGGCTCCCCCAGCACCTACACAGCACACCTGGCTGGGAGGCGGTCACCCCATGCTATTGCTGCCACTGGAAGCAGAGAGCAAAGGACACTCACTGTGTCTTCAGCACTGATGCTTTAACCCAACTTTGTTCATGCATTTAGGGCAGGATATTCTGTTTGGATTTTAAGCAGCTCATAATTTCATCTCTTAAAGAAAGGCTTATACCTTTCTCCTTATACATCAAATCAAAAAAAAGTTAGGTTTTGTAATTTTGAAAATGTATCTATGCGTAGACATATATGTGATACTCACATGTGTGCATGAGTCCCCCTCAACCTCTTCATATACTGAGCCCTCTGCACTCACCCGAGATGTGACTTCATGGTTCTGTCTCCAGCTCCCAAGAAGAAGCCATGTGCCAGTTGCTTCCCGCAGGGCACCTGCAGGAGCGTTCCATGGGATACACCAGTTCTTGAAATGGAATTATATCATTAGTACCTGCCAGGATTAGAGCTGACATTGGGCTTATCCATCCTTACATCACCTCCTCTTGTTCAAAGTCTGAAGGGGTGATCTGACAAGCCCACCCACATGTTGCCTCCCAGGCTGGGTGTTTTTTTGTTCTGAGTTAGGTTCCGTACATGTGCGTGTGTGTACATGTGCGCAAGTGTGTGTGTGTATGTGTGTGCATGCCAAATGTGGAGCTGAATTACAGGAGAAGATTTATACTACTGTGGCAGATATTTTAAATTACTCTGCTGGGTCCCAGCGTCCTGTGTCTGCCCCTCCCCCCAGATACCCTTGTCCTTGCTCAGAGGAGCGGGCTCACTGGCCCTGGGCCTGTGTGTGCTGGGGCTGTACAGGCAGATGTTGGCCTTCTGGCCTGGTTTTCCATGGTGTAAGTGTTCTGCCCACAGATGATGCTTTCCAGGAGCCCCTCCAGCCTCCCCACTATCCGGTGCCTTTCCCATTCTGCAAAGTGTCTCTTTGTTTCTACCCTGGCTGCAGGAGGTCTAGAGAGACCTCAATATAGAACTTACCTTAGGACAGAAGGAAAACCCTTCTGCTTCCTCTGACTGGGCTTTTCTCAACATGTCCATGGAATCCGTGTTGGTCCCACTTCCAAGGCCATTCATGGGACATGTGCTGTTTTGTCACTGACCACTCACATCCTTCATCACCAGGCAATTTCCTGATTCAATGACACTGTCATGTTGTATTTCACAGCTGGAGCCTCTGGGAAGTGGGTTTTGTACCTTGAGACAACCTGTTTGAACAATCAGCCTCAGCTGACTCATCAACAGTGACATATCAGCTGACCAAGTGCCTTGCACGAAGGCTGAAGGGCCCTGTCCCCACGGCGGAGCCCCGACTCAGAAAACTGCTTGTGTCTGATGGCAGGCAGCATGTGACTCACTTCTTTCTTTCTGTGTCCATTCCTCCAACAGGTTGGTGGTCGGAGCCAGCTGTATCTTTTGATAGCACGCAGATGACAAAGCGCTGTGCCTACAGTCTTGAGAGTGGAAGCCCAAAGCCCAGAGCCCCTCCCCCACCGCTCGCTGTCTGTCAGGGAGTACACTCTGTCGCCTGGAAGCAGGCACTTACAGGGCCACTCAGGGTAGATGACCTGTACTCAGGGGATAATTTGAGGCTGACCTTTGAGGCTAGGGCTTCCTGGAGGCTTTTCTTGAGCCACACACTGAAGCAGCCGAGTCAGCAGGGCAGCTGGACACAGCCGTGAGGCAGGTGATCCTCCCTTGAGAGCAGCCCCACTCAGGCCTATTCCTTTACAGGGAGCAGTAGAACTAGGAAAGGTCAGAAAAGGAGCCACAAGAGGATCTGGAATCAGGAGGGGGCACATCTGAGGGAAGATGAAAGTGCTGGGTCCGCTAGATGGGAACACAGGCCAGAAGCGGCTGTCTTGTGTCTTTCACGGAAGGGGCGTTTTCTTTCTGTCACCATTCAGACCCCACAGAGTAGGCCTAACCCCGGGCGCTAAGATTAAACTCCAGGGAGTCTGGACAGATGCCCCATGGAGGCAGAAGCCGCCTGATCAATCCATGGGTGCTGGAAGGAGCCCCCCCATCTCACCCTGGACATGCATTTGAGAATTTGAGAGATGGGGATAGGGGAGCCGCATCTCTGCAGCTGGTGTTGAGAGCCTCCTTTGAGCTATCTGGGGACTTGTGGGAAGTGGGCTGCTGGCATAGGTCCCTAGGGGCTTTGCTGCCTGGCTCCCCACGTCACGATCAGCTAGTTAGCGTTCCTTAGCCTGTCTCTGGCAGATGTGGCCCTGGAGTGTGCTGGCTTCCTCACTGGGCTAAGACTGGACACCACCGTCATGATGCGCAGCATCCCTCTGCGGGGCTTTGACCAGGTAACGCCCATGGGCCCAGCTCCCACCCTATGGCTTTGCTATTTCCAGGGAGCTGCACGTTCCCTTCGCTCCTACCCTGGCTCAGGCAGGTGCACACGTGGGCAGGGAGCGACGTCTCAGTCTTTAGAAACTGGCCTTTGAGTGGAATGATGGTGTTTGTGAAATATAAAACATGCCAGACTGTGGAAGCAAGGGTTGGCACATAGAGCATGCGGCAGCTCTGAGCACACTGAGCCAGCCTCATGGACCGCATTCATTCCATCAGCAAGCGGAAGGTATATGTTGCCAGAGGCACTGTCCTGTCTCTCTTGCTGAGTCCCCCAGGGTCTGAGGGGGTGTGCCACTTCACCAGGGGCAGCACCAGGTAGGGGAGCAGGTGGCAGACTGGCGATGCCTTGGATGGCTACCTCAGGAGACAGCAGCCCCTGATTGAAATGCCAACCACCTGCCACAGACTGAAAAGATGTTACCATGTGCCATTGGCTGTTTGGCTGTCACACTCACCTGTCACTTCACTCAGCACAGAGGCACCGAGTGCCTGCCGAGGGGACACAGCATCCAGGTCTTTGAGCCCCAGGCTTCAAGGAGAATGTTCCAGGCAGCAGACAGGAGCCATGAGGAGGCCTTGTGGCCAGATGCAGCATAGATGAAGTCTGAGAAGCAGAGTGGGCTGCAGGGATGAGGGCTGCTGGCCTCGGCGCTGAGCTGAAGCAGGAGCTGGAGACAATGGGAAGAAGTGCAGTTCCCAGAGAGGGGCCTATGGAGGAGGCAGAAGAAGGCAGATCTGGGTCTGCTGAGGGGCTGGAGTGAGCAAGGCTGGACTGAAGGGCCAGGTCGGCAGCGGGAGCTGAAGGCCACGTGGTGGGAGAAGTGCCCGAGAGGTATCAGTAGCAGGGGGAGGGGAGGGCAGTCTAGTGCCTAGGTAGAGTTTAGATGTTGTTGCCTTTTGGAGTCCATGGGGTCACTCAGGGGAGAGAGTCAGGAGGAAAACGAGCAGTCTCACCTGTGCTCTGAGAGAGACATAGTGGCAAGGTCAGGTGACTGAGGCTGTGCTTCATTAAGGACTTGTAGCCCCTGTAGCAGGCCGAGGGGTTGTGGACCAGCCCTGTGGCTCAAGAGAATCCAGCAGTTCTCCCTGGGACTGTAAAAGAGACATCCAGGCCCATCAGGAGTCCAGAGGGATGCAAGAGGGACAGCCTACCTACCTGTTCCTGCAACCAGGGTGACAATCTCAGACAGACAGGGCTTCTCATGGTGTGCCAGTTCTTAAGTGAGCTGGCTCTTCTGAGAAGGTGTCAGAGAATTTAAACAGTGACTTTTATTTTCTCCTGGGGAAAAAAAAAAAGCTGTGGTTGGATAGGTCTCTGTGACAAGGCCCCACAGTGGCTTGGGCAAATGGGCTCCCAGTCTATAGCCTGGGGGTACAGAACCTCCTGGGCTATGAGGGAGACCTTCTCTGCAGATGCCACAGCCCCCAAGCCATGTCCACTAACCCCTGAGTTTCTTGGCAGGGAGTAGATGTGCTTACCTATACTGTCCCAGCTCCCCAGTGGCATATTTGCCTAAGGGGATGCTTCTCTGTTATTGGTTTCAGCTAAGACAGTTAATTAGCATCTAAAGAAGAGTGCAAAGGTCAAGTGCATCCTAACCTAAGGCCCAGGGTCCTTGGATTTGGAGCTGGGGGTCAGGTGGGAGAAGGGGCACCATATGCTCTCCCAGCTCAGCCCTCTGCTCTGCAGAGAGTAAGGGGACCCAGAGGTGGGTATGGCCTGCTTGGGGCCACATAGCAGAAGGAGTGGGGGCACTGAACCCTATCCTTCAGAGACCGTGCTTAACCAGGGCCTCTCTTCTCAGTCATCAGTAGTGACATTCTCACTGCCACCTGGTCCTCTCACAGTGTGTCATCTTGTGCTTTGCAGCAAATGTCATCCTTGGTCACAGAGTACATGGCTTCTCAGGGCACCCAGTTCCTGAGGAGCTGCACCCCCTTGAGAGTGAGGAAGCTCCCGGATGGCCAGCTTCAGGTCACTTGGGAGGACCTCAAGTCTGGCAGGGAGGACATGGGCACCTTCGACACCGTCCTGTGGGCCGTAGGTAAGGGTATATGAGCCATATGTGCCTGTGAGTGTGTGTGCGAGCCTGACCCTGAGGCTAGTGGCCGCTTCCCCTTCCCTCTGCCTCCTCTTACCCTGCTGGCTTTCAGGTGGGTCAGCTGTGACAGAGCTCACCTCGTGGACTGTCGTAAAGACTTGTGGGATTGCTTTAGATACTTGCCAGTGGTTGCTTTGAGCTCTGCAGATCATCACGTGCTAGGAGAGGGTATTTTACTGGCCTTTCTAAGTCACACTTTGCAGATCCAAAGACAGCATCTAGCGATGGGCCAGAGGCCTTGGGCCTTTCCCAGCCAGGCATGGGTTGTGTTCTCATCCTTTTGTTCTCTGAGAGGCCCAGGGGTAGCTTTTAGTTTGGGCAAAGGCTGGGCAAATGTGGCTGTGCAGAACTAGCCCATTGCTAACCTTCTGGGACACATTCCCTCCCAGTCTGGGCCTTCTCTACACCCCTAGGCTGCCCCGCTGAGGAGAAGGGCAAAGAATGTCGATGCAGGAAGGAGAGGGGAGACCCTTCAGCAGGCTCGGGCCAGTCTGAGTCAGGGAAATGGACTTTGAGGAAAGGCACTCTAGCCTGGAGCTGGATGGGGAGAGCAGGTAGCCCAGAAACCGTGCCACCAGGAGACAGCTTGCAGCTGGGGCACATCAGAGCTGTGAGCGGGCTCCTTCCACAGAAGGTGATGACGGGTCTTGTTAGTAAGAGCACGTGGAGTACAAGCATGGCATACCTTCTGAGACATCCCGCCGCCTTGATACCTGTGGCTTCTGGGGTTAAAGTGTCGTTTTCCTAAACACCCATCAATTTGTATGTTAAAAATAGGAGCAGAGTCTTTCTTATTCTTGATATTTCCAATTTGAAGGGTTCTGTCTGTTCTGAGCCTGTTCAGTTATCCCTGTTCTGTGAGCCTGGCCTTAGAATCCATGTGGCTAACAGAATTGTTATCAGGCTCCACGACAATGAAGTACATGGTTACTGAGCACTCAGAGGGGCTGGCACTCAGAGGAGCTGTCCTATTAGTGTTTGTCAAGATCTGGTCTCCAGGTCCCAGGGCCCCCTGAGGTGGGGCTTTTAGGAGGAGCAGGGCTGCATCACAGTGCAATGTACTTCTGGGGATCCATTTTTTCCTGAGTTGCTCAGAATGATTGGAAATCAGAAGGTAAACTAAACTCTGGAGGAGTCGGAGCTCTTCACTTTTGACCAGTCAACATGAGCAAGTTTGAGGAACAAGGGAAAGATCTGAAATGCCCTGGAGTGAATTTAGTGCCTCTTGACCAATTTAATAAATCACCAGAGGAAATATTCTTGATCAAATTGTAAAAGTAAGTTTTAAGTGGGTTTATTCTGATGAATACTGAACGAATGTATAACTATTCAGACCCAGAAATGTAAATTGACGTTTGATATCTTAAACTCCATTCTAAATAGGGAGCTGGCATGTTCTTCCCCTCCCATCTGCATCCCAGCCTTCCCCCTTCACCCCCTGATGTTTTTCTGTGCGCCCCCAAGCATACATGTCCCTGGTCTTGACCTGCACCCAGAGCTATCAGCTGAGACCATGCTGATCGCAGCAGCATGGCGAGAGGCTCTGCTCTCAGAAAGCCTCAGGGTCCCTCAACTTCCAGACAAGGCCTGGTAGGCAACAAGCAACACCCTGGGCATGCATGCCTTCCCTCCCCTACTGGGTGTCCATTTTATTTTTTGTATTTTCAAAAAGAGCATCCCCAGACAGTCTGCCTGGCATGATTGATGCTGGGGGTGGAAGCTTTTCATAGTCCTTGGCCTTTGACCTTGCTTCCCGAGGCGGCGCTGCGGTGGCGGCGGTTTCTGGCACGCCTCTGGGGCTGTACGGGCTTGTGCTGACTTTGCTGCATGCTCCTGGGCCAGGTTTTGTAAACATCAGGAGCTACTTCCCAGTTTAACAACTGGGAATGTTTTCTGCTGATTTACCCCATAAGCCTTTAACCAAGCATTATTTCTACTTGCAATAAAGGATGGTCCAATCCAGGACTTTAAAATAAAATGCCCTGGGGGCCACACGGCTGGTGCAACAGAGAGCTCTTGGACTGGACGTCCTGCCCCAGAGTGAGCTGAGCCTTGACATGAATTAAACACAAGAGGGAAGGATACCCCTCATGCTCCATGGACATATGCTGAAGGCTGCAAGACTCTCCCATGAGGCTAAGCTCCTGCCTGGACCAGCTGCTCATGTACCTAATGCCTGGGCCACAGCCGGAGAGGACCCTGGACATAGGGATGGCGAAGTCAGCCCTGCAGTCTAGAAGCCCAGGAGGACTCCCGAGCCTGTTCCTTGGTGCAGCCTTGATCTCCATGTGGTGGATTAAACACATTAGCAGTTAAAGCAGTTAATTGCTGTGCAGGGGGCCCACTCATTGTTTGTCTCTGAATCACCCACCCACACCAGGTGTCTCAGATAATAGACTGGGAACTCGCAGCGAGGAGGATTTCCTGTCTGCAGATGTGCCGATTACAGTGCTGAGTGAAGACAGTCAGCCTGCGCTGCCGCGGGCTCGAATTCACCCTGCACAGTTAACCAGTTGTGGCCTGAATCCCTGGCTGTCTGGGGGAGCGGGAGCAAGACAGGCGTCATGGAGTGGACACCTTTGAGCCGAAACGCTTCTTGGCTGGAGGTTGAATTTAGCTTAGATTTTGTTTTAAAGCACAGAAGGAGGTCATCTGGATTGCAGCCTGGAAAACCAGGAGCTGAAACTGTCCGCTTGCCCTCAGCATCTCCAGCTTCTTGGGAAGGTTCTCTGTCTCTCACTCAAGGGAAGGACAGAAGCTCTGGCACATCCATCCTGGGGCCATGGGAGTCCTGCCCACTGTTGGAAGAGCTCAGATTGCCATGTTCGCAGTGTCTGTAGTGCTGGGAGGACTGTTCCATAACTGCCTCGGGAGCCCCCTTCGTCTGCTGAGTGAGACCTTGGGTAATCAGCCGCTGTAGCCATTTCCTTTTCCCAGGCTTTAATCTCAGCAGAAGAGCTGTTATAGTCCCCCTGTGTGTACCACCAAGGTTAGGTCACTTCTGAGCCTCTAAGATGGTGTAAAGGAGGCAGCGGGCCCTGGCTTTCCAGCTTCCATCCAACTGTCATACTGAGGCCCCCACCATGAGCCACTCTGAGTGTAGCCCACCTACACAGCATGTGTGGATGGAATACAGCCAGGGACACAGATAGTCTCTGCGGAGCCCATGATGGGGGCCCACCATGCCCAGAGAGGGGGACACATCTGCCCGGTACGGGCTGCAGCCCGGGGCTCCTCTTTCTCTGCCCCAGGGACTATGTGCTATGGTGTACATGGTAGCTGTCCTCGATCAACTGTGTTCATCTGATGACTCTCCTATACCACAGACACGGCCCACACAAGTCCCTGAGGAATTTTCCCCACCGGAGCCAGGCAGCAGGAGAGGGGGGCAGGAAGCAAAACAGAACCAAGCCCCTGAGGCTGGGGATTCGTGGGAGGAATTGCTCTGAGTCCAGCAAGAAGGAAGAGGCAGTCCAAGGTTCCAGATCTACCCAAAGGCCGTGGGTTTTGAGGAGGAGCTGGTAGGCTGACCTGGTTGGGAGAAGTCCAAGTCCAAGGCCACCAAGCCTGTTCTCTGAGACCACATCTTGGGCTATGGCTATAGGAAAGCATGTGTGGCTGTATTCTTCCTGATGTGGACTCTGCAGTGGCCTGGCTGTGACAAGTCACATACAGAAGACTACTTTGTGACAGACATCTCAACTCACCCAGTGCCCACCTCTTCCCTGCTCTCAAGGTGGAGCAGCCGGCCTTGAAGAAGGCCCTGCTCTGCTGCTGATAGTCTAATGCCTTTTTATTTTAGTGCAGATGGAGAGTTTGTAATTACTGATATCAAAAGAGCCAAATCTGCTTGTGTATGTGGTTTATTTTTGGAGGGAAGAAGACATTTATGGAACTCGTGCCGGTAGGCACCTCCCACAGGCTCAGGGAAGTGGCCACGGCCTTCCCCACCACACTGTATGGCTCCCAGGCAGTGCGCCGTTGCTCCTGAAGCAGCACGATTGGCTCAGTGACCTTCGTTGCCCTCAGTCCTGGCTTGCAGAGGTGGTAATCCATCACAGAAGCCACGAGAGGGCAGCGGGAAAACAGTGCCCTGTGCTCCCAGACTGGCCTCGTGCCTTCTGCTTGGGATACCCAATACAGTCAGGGATAGAGAGCTGTGCCGGGCCTTCAAGCCAGCTCCTTCCTGTGTCCAGGGTCACCTTGCCCCCCGCACCTTCCACCCCTCCCATAGCTATCAGACCCAGCTGGCCTGCCTCAGTGCTCACGAGCATCAGGTGGGGTATTTTTTGCCAAGTCGAATTCAGGATTTATAGTTAGAACTTAGTGGAAACCAATTAGGAAAAAAGGGAAAAAATGACCCTTAGTGACAGCTCTTTTAGAGATAAATGTGTATATGTATATATTAAGTGTGCCATCTAAATTCTGCAAGTGCCACTTGGAGTAGCCATCCAGTGGGGGAAATTATATCTATAGCGGTTAAAACGATAATTGCCACCATGGAGCATGTTACTTCCTGGGGGCTCCTATGGACAAGGCTGTAGCTGGGCCTGAGCTGGAGGTTATACTATCAAGTCCAAGGGTTTTAGGGGTAAGTGTGGCTTATTTTATATGATGTCAGTGCTTGCACACAAGCTTGAATAGAAAAGTCCATGAGTTCCCCAAGGCTTAAGTTTGCCCCAGTTGTCCAAAGAGCCCTCCTAAGAGACTCCCTCAGGATGGTCTGGGGGCCACTGGTGGGTGCTGGTGGTTACAGAGAGCAGCCCACCTCAGGTCATGCTAAGGTCCAGGGGCTCAGTCATTCATTCAGCCCTCCCTGGGACTTTACATTGAGGCCAGTAAGATAGGTGCTCTCCCCTGTCTCCAGGGACCTTGCAGCTATGGATGGTGCCTGCGCCTCACTGAGAAGGGGCTGTTTGAGAAAATAAAAGAAGCCCTTTGCTGTTATTATCATTTTCCTTTAAGTCTCAAAGATGACAAGAGACATATAATACACTTTTGAAAAGTAGGCGTCCGAGAATCTGACTGGAGGTTCTGAAGGTGTGAGTTGCCTTTTCAGCCTGGTCCAAGGTGCTGCACAGGTCTAGTTTGGTGGGAGGGGCCCCTCAGGAGGGTCTCCCAGGGCTGGCCCTCTCCGAACCTGTTTGTGAAGCTGCTGTTGGGCCCTCGCCCACGCAGCCCGGCCAGCCTCCCAGACCCCCGACCTCCCAGCACTGAGCTTCCAGCTGCTTCCTTTATATCCTCATTGCGTCTGTCTGATTACAGCCCCTCATTCACCCTGTCATACTCCTCCTGGCACTTAAATCTTACCTCGTTACACGGATTGCCCTTCACTCATCAGAACATGTGCTCCAGGCAGGCGTGAAATTGGAGGGAATGCCTGTCTTCCCAGAACAGATGAAAGAGGCACGTGAAACTGCATGGGCCTGGTTGTCTGCGTCCCTGTGTCCAGCAGAGCAGGTAGCAGTGACCATTAGCCACCATCTGGGGAGTTTTAATCTTCAGCTTTTTCTGGCTGGCTGGGTGAGCATGGTGGCCAGTGAGGAGCAGCATCTGGTGGGACTCCCAGTGCCGTCAAAGGAGGGCTAGCCTGGTCCAGCTGTGCTGAGAGCAATTGGGCTGAATGCTAATTCTGCCACCACTTCAGGTCCCTGGGTGTCCTGGGTGGTGGGCGCTGGGAAGGAGAGACTGTTTCACCTCAGAGACACCAGGGGTCACATGGTCCCCCAGAGAGACTCTGGCCAGCAGACAAGGCTGGGCCTGGTGAGGGAGGCCGCTCCAAGGACAGAGGTGTGTGATCTCATTCACATATTTGTGGAGATATCGCCTCAGGAGGAAGTGAGAATGTATATATCTGGATTTTAACGTCCTCCTGCGGTAACAATGGCAGAGCGTCATGTATGTATTCCATAAAAAAGCTCTTACAACGCAAGAAAGTCATGAAAATATCTATAAGTGAATGAGAAAATGCAGGAACTGACAACGAGGAAATACAGTTAACCAGCACGTGGCCAAAAATACTTAATTTTACTAGTAATCAAAGACCAGCACTGAGAGAGCACCAAGCATCCTCCCCATCCTCGGAGCAGAGGAGCAGAGCCTAAGAAGGAGCCATGGGGGTACTGAGGAAGCCCCACCTGGCCAGTGATCCTTCTCTGAGGACCTACCACAAGGAACTAAACTGACAACTGGGCAAACTTTCATCTCCTTCTGTGTGGTGTCCAAGGGAGCAGAGACATGGGAGCCTCCGGAAGTCCCATGTCTTTCAATGGCATTTGGTGGGCTCAAGCAGGGTGCCAAGAGCTGAAGCGAGAGAGATTCCTCGGGGAGTGGAGTGGGCAGCCTGCTGTGCTAGGGTGAGGAAGTGCTGAGTGTGACCTGTAGGGTGATGCAGTGGGGGCTCCCCTCTTCCCCCAAATCGCCTGAGGAGTGTTACCTTTATTTTTGCATAAGAGGAAAATGGTCAAGGAGATAACTTTGTACGCTTGCTTGCATCTTGCTTCGTGCCATTTATGTTGGCCTGGGCCTGGGCTGAGTATCGTCCGTGTGGCAGAGCTGCCCTGCCTGTGTGAAAGGCCACTGGGTTCCACCGTGGCACCCGTTCTTCCTCGCTGTCCTCTGGGGCTCCAGGCTTGAGCTGAGTGGGGGCCCGCACTATCTGACTGAGCCCTGTTACCCGTGGGGAGGCGTGACCCTGCTCTGAGTGTGAGGGAACAGAACTCAGGAGGGTCATGGGGCATGTCCCTCCTGTATGACCACCACCTAGGTGGTTTGCTCAGTGAGGCCCATGGTGGGAGCTCAGGGCCCAGAGTCCTGGCTGTGGCCCTGTGGGGCTGGAGGAGCCTGCCAAAGCTTTGGGGTATGGCCCCACAGTAGGGGGTGCCTGGGAGCTGGGGCCCCCCCTGTCCACCCCAGACCTCACCCGGCACATGCCCGGCTGGCACAGTTCCAAACCCTGATGTGCTACAGCTCCCCTTTGGGCTGTCTTTGACTGCCTGGTGTGGCATCCTTCTCCCTTCACTGTTCATTCTAGAAGCATGCAGGCATCTTCTTTGCTACACTGTTTAACCCCTCTACTCACCCACTTCCAGCCAGCCAGCCATTTTATTGATATCGGTGGCCTGACTTACAAGTTCTCATGTACGTTCCAAGTTTATGTACATAGCATGTCCTAAAAGATTCTGGCTTCAGAATGGACTATGGAAGTCACCTAATTCATGCATTTGTCATTATCTCCTATTACTTTTAAATTTACCCTTATAGTAGTCCCTCCTTTACTTTCCACTGTTTCAGTTACCCATGGTCAACTGTGGTCCAAAAATATTAATTGAGAAATTCCAGAAATAATGCATAAGTTTTAAATTGCGTGCCATTCTGAGTAGTATGATGACATCTCGCACAGTCCTGCTTCAACCTGCCCAGGATATGAGTCATCCCTTTGTCCAGCATCTCCATGCGGTATATGCTTCCCACCCATTAGTTACTTAGTAGCCGTCTTGGTTATCGGATCAACTCTTGTGGTATTGCAGTGCTTATGTTCAAATAACCCTTATTTTACTTAATAGTAACCGCAAAGCACAAGAGTAGAAATGCTGACAATTCGGATATGTCAAAAAGAAGCTATAAAGTGTTTATTTCCTTTAAGTAAAAAGGTATGTATGTATAGGAAAAATCTACTATATATAGGATTCGGTACTATCCACAGTTTCAGGCACCCACTGGGGGTCTTGGATAAGGGGGAACTGCTTTATTTTCCTCAGGATCTAATTTGGCTGGCATCTGCAAGGTGTGTAGTTACCATGGTTAACACAAGGTGCATGAGGAAATGCTCTTAGCCCCCTGTGACTGGCCAGGCGGGAGTACAGAGGAGAGGTCAAGTATAATATGGTCCGCATCAGAACAGGTTGGTCTTGAACCACTGGTTTTGCCCTTGGACACTCCAGCCCCAGCCCAGAGTGCTTAGCAAGTGGACCTGGTGAGCTGCTATATGCAATGCTCCTCAAAACTGGGGGCCTAGGGAGGAACTAGAGGGCAGAACTATGAACCTCCTGCCTGTAGGGACCCTTGGCGCACCTAGCAGACCTTTTCTAGTCCTGCCCATGGGGCCCAGCTCCTTTCTTGCTGAGGCATAGTATGTTCCAGTCCCTTCCCATGGGCTTCCAGGAATCAGGCCCAGGACCCCAGGCCACCTCATCCAGGGAAGGACAGTGGCCAGGGTGGCATGTCCCATTCTGCACCTTCTCAGGTCTCCATTCATACAACTCCAGTGCTGACATTGATACTGTCAGAAGGCACGGACCTCGGAGCCTTGGGTCACCCATGTCTGGACTGATCAGCAATGGTTGCCAGCCTGCCTGGCACCTGATTCCTGTGGCCAAGCAGAGTAAAGAGGCTGGAGCCAGCTCCCCATGAACTTGAGAAGCACGGCTTAGCCGAGTCTCTGTTTTGACTTCCCACTCCAGGAGAGCAGCTGGAGACGAGGTTTCCCTTTCACGGGGCTTGGTCTTCCAGATGTTCGGATTGGCACCACCCGCTATCCAACCTTTTGTGTGTCTGAGCCGCCACGAGCTGTGGGAACTAAGCCTTTGAAAACATTCATCTTTGCCGTCAAGGGATCACTCTGAGCCTCTGGAGTCCTTGAGGGGCTGCCCACTGCCTTCCTAGGGTCGGGCAGGAAGAGCTGCCTTTGCCACCCCTTAGCTCAGCAAGGCCACATCTTCTGAATTACAGAGAAAAGGAACTCTGCTGGCATCTCAGCTGTGACAAGACCCAAGGCTGTAAGCATATGGAGCCCAGCAGGGAGGCAGCTGTGCTTATACCCCTGGGGACTGTGTTCCCTCGTTCCTGTTGGCCTTTGCACCCAAGAGCAGATTTAGCTGAGCTGACTACACCTTGGCCCAGGTCCTCTCTCAGCTTTGGGGGGGTCTGAAAGCTGGGGCTGTCTCCTGGGCAACACCACAGGCACATGGGAGATGGGGAGCTGAGGACTTGTAGCATGGAGCTGCCACAAGGCCTGGCTTCTAGCCCCCCACTTGCTTGGTGCCTGTGCTGGCTTTGCAGAGATCACAGGCTGGATGCACATTGCTCTTAGGTCATCACTGCTTCTAGACCTTTCTGTGGTCAGAGTCAGGAACTTTGTATTTATAAAAAAGAGAAATCATGAATTTCCAATTCAAATTTAACATTATAGGGTTTTAACTGTCTTCTTTGAATGACATAAAAGGTGTGTTTGCAGCTTTATTTATTGTTAGGGCATGACCTTCTGAGGATGTTCGATTAAAACGTGGCTTCCTGCAGGCTTTTGGATGAATTATCTTTCTATTGCTCTGTTACCAGCTTCATAAACAGACCCCTTTGTTTCAAGTTGTTCACAGGACATAGGCATTTTTTCCACTTTTGATTGAATTTTTATTTTTTGAATGTAGAAATTATGTATATGATTAAGAAAAGAAAATTGTATCACAGGATGTATTTAGAGTCCTGTTTCCATCTCTGTCCCCTCCCCCATTTCCTTCCTTTCTGTAGCTCATTATTTCTACTAGTCCTGTTTCATCCTTTCACTGATTCTTCATGTGAATGTAGAGAGGTGTGTGTGTGTGTGTTTGTATACGTGTGTGTGTGCGTGCGTGTGCACATGTATGTGTTTGAGGCCTAAAGAGGCCAGGAGCCCCTTGATAATGTTTGTGTTTGATGTTTCACCAATTCTAAGCGGACATTCTGAGAAGTGTTTTAAATAAACCACGAGGTCTTGATCAAAACTGCTAAAGAAAACCTTCCAACTTTGCTCTATTTTTTTCAGGTCGGGTTCCAGAAACCAGAGGTCTGAATTTGGAGAAGGTTGGAGTAAACACCAACCCTGACAGTCAGAAGATCCTGGTTGATGCCCGGGAAGCCACCTCCGTCCCCCATATTTATGCCATCGGAGATGCAGCGGAGGTACAGCCACC